CGGAGACATTTTTGATTGTCATAACTGGAGAGATGCTAGTGGCATCTAGTGGGCAGCAGCCAGGGATGCTGCTGAACATCCTACAATGGGCAAGGACAGCCCCCTACATCAAAGAATTATCTGGACCAAAATGTCAATAGTGCCAAGGTTGATAAACACTGATATAAGTTTTCTATTGTCACCACTTCTATCAATCCACATGGAAACAATTAACGGAAGGAGAACAGCTTTAGAATATATTTCTGATAGTTTTAAAATTCTGAAGAGAATGTCCTACTAGACTGTATTCTCCAAGAAGCCAGAGACTCTGTCTGCATTGCTGATGTCAGAACTAGCACAGTGCCAGGTACATAGTGGTTGTTCAAATACTGTTGCTTGGGCTGAATTGATTATGTCACAGAGGGTATAAAGTATGAAATGAACCAATCAAATCAGAAACACTGTGGAAACAAATGCCTAGGTGTGTCTGCATATGCCCCAAGCACAGGGTAAATGCTTAATAAATGTTTGTTGAATGAATAGATGAATAGTTGGAAGAATTAATGAATAGAAACTTGAAAGCCCTGGAACACAGGCATTTTTCTCTTTTAGCCATTGAGGAAAATGTCTGGAAATGATAGGTGCTTGAAAAGTGAACAGGTGGGTATATATACATGATGTTGAACAACATGACTCAGCTTTTGTGTAACAGTATATGAGACTGGAGTAACATAGGTAACATTCCCTCTTTCCTCTACTGTTAGCTTCTTTCTTGCTCTTTTTCAGCCTATACAGTCATATACCACTTAATGGTGGTGACACATGCTGAGAAATGTGCCATTAGGTAATTTCATCATTATACAAACATCATAGAGTGTACTTAAACATATCTAGATGGTTAGCCTACTACACACTTGGGTTATATGGTATCCTAGGCTACAAACCTGTTCAGCATGTTACTGTACTGAAGTATATCTAAACATAGAAAAAGTAGGTAAAAATATGGTATAAAAGGTAAAAAATTGGTAAATCTGTATAGGACACTTACGATGAATTGAGCTTGCAGGACTAGAAGTTGTTCTGAATGAGTCAGTGAGTGAATGGTGAGTGAATATGAAGACCTAGGACATTACTGTACACTACTGTAGACTTTATAGACACTGTACACTTAGGCTATGCTAAATTTATAAAACAACATGAGATTAAATCAAGCATAAGAGATTATGATGCAATCAAGAGATACAGTAAAGCCTAAGAACAGGAAACAATAAAAGTATAGTATAATAAATATATAAACCAGTAACTTAGTTATTTTTTTCAATTTTATATTTAGATTCCTTATTCGTAATAGATAAATTAATATAAAGGAAAATGTTTTTTCTTTTTTTTTAATAATTTTTTATTTTTCAATTACAATTGACATACAAATTATATTAATTTCAGGCTTACAACATAGTGATTAGATATTTTTATAACTTACAAAGTGATTACTCCAATAAATCTTGTACCTATTTGATACACAGTTACATACACAGTTATTATAATATTACTGACTATGTTCCCTAAGCTATACCTTACATCCCCACAACTATTTTTTTCTAAGCTTTATTGAAGTATAATAGACAATTTAGTTGCTCATATTTACATTGGATGAGTTTTTTCAGTTATAGTCGGCATGCAATAATATATTAATTTCAGTTGTACAGCATAGTGATTAGAGATCTATATAACTCATGAAGTGGTCACCACACTAAATCCAGTACTCCTCTTCTCCCTTACATATTTTTTACATCATTGATTACTTTCCTTGTGCTACACTTTATATCTCCATGACTATTTAGTATTTATCCATTTGTACTTTTTATACCTTTGCCCTTTATCACTGTCCCCCCACCCGCTCCCATTTAGTGGCCCTCAAAATATTCTCTGTATGTCCGAGTTTATTTCTGTTTTAGTTGTTGTTTATTTTGTTCTTAAGATTCCCCATGTACATGAAATTATGAGACATTTGTCTTTCTCTATCTGACTTATCTCATTCAGCGCAATACTCTCTAAGTCCGTCAAGGCAATATCTTTCTCCACCTCCTTCCTTTTAGTCTGTGTGTCTTTTAATCTGAAGTGAGTCTCTCGTAGGCAGAGTATATAGGGGTCTTATTTTCTGATCCATTCAGACACTCTATCTTTTAGCTGGAGCACTTAATTCTTTTCCATTTGAGGTACTTGTTGATAAGAATGTAGTTATTACCATACTTTATTCATGTTTTTGACACATGTTTTTCTTCTTAAAGAAATCCCTCCAACATTTTATGTAGTAGTGGCTTATTTTTGTCTGGGAAGCTCTTTATCTGTCCTTTGACTCTAAATGATAGCTTTGCTGGATAAAGTATTCTTAGTTGTAGATCCTTGGTTTTCTTCACATTGAAAATTTTGTGCCAAGCCCTTCTGTCCTGCAGTTTCTTTTGAGAAATCAGCTGCTAGTCTTATAGGTGTTCTCTTGTGGGTTCCCTTGCTTTTCTCTTGCTGCTTTTAAGATTCTCTCTTTGTATTTAACTTTTGGCATTTTAACTATGATGTGTCTTGGTGTAGGCTTCCTTGGGTTCATATTTTTTGGAACTCTCTGGTCTTCCTGGGGTTTTATGTCTATTTCCTTCACCAGGTTAGGGAAGTTTTCCACTATTATTTCTTCAAATATATTTTCAACTTCTTGTTCTCCCTCTTCGGGTACCCTTATGACACAGATATTACCCTTAATTTTGTCTCTTGAGCTTCTTAAATTATTATTATATTCTTGGTTACTTTTTTCTTGCCATTCTGATTGGGTGTCTTTGGCTTTCCCATCCTCATATATCAGTGGTTTGCTCCTCTTCTTTATCCACTCAGTTGGTTCCCTCTAATATACTCTTTGTCTCAGATACTGTGTTCTTCATTTCTGACTGGTTCCTTTTTATAATTTCCATGTCAATTTCTATATTTTTTATCTCTTTGTTAAAATTCTCACTGAGTTCATCTACCTTCCCCTAATTTCATTGAGCATCTTTATAACCAGTGTTTTGAACTCTGCATCTGTGAGATTGCTTGACTCCAATATTCTTGGATCTCTGTTCTATTCTCTCATATGGTTTCTGCTTCTTTGTCTTCCCATTTTGGCTGCCTTTCTCTGTCTGTTTCTATGTACTAATCAAAGCTCTTAAGTGTCCTGGTCTTATTAGTGTGGTTTTATATAGTAGGTGTCCAGCAGCACAGTCCTGAGAGGGGTTCAGCTGCAGGCCAAATTAGCCCAGCCTGTGTCATCTGGGGCCACCTCTTAAGATTCAGTGAGCAATCCATAGATGCTCTGCTTATAGGTGCCTTAAGATGCCACATCAGAAACTGCAGTCAGCTGCTACCAGTGTGAGTCTTGGCGCTGCTCAGCAGGGGGTGCAGGACTCACACCTAGATGTGGCTTGGGTGGGGCCAAGAATTGAGAGAGGCAAAGTTTCCAGGAATTCTCAACCTGTTATCTGGTTCAATGATGTCTCAGCTATGGGGGTACTGAGTCCACAACTGGGTCAGGGGAGGGCTCAACAGAGGAGCACTTTTGCCTGAGAGAAAGCCTTGCCTCTGGCCCCAACTCCAACAATTCAGTATCCCCCTGTAAGTCCCTCTGGTCCCCCAAGCAGCCAACCTGGCACTGGTGCTCAGAGCAAGCAAGTCTGTCACCGTGAAAGTCCAGTTGTGGCCATTGCCCCTTTAGGAGGAACGTCTACACCTGCCGGCTGCCATAGTTTCTGTCCCACTCAGCCCCTCAAGACAGGACTGGGTAGCTTAGTGTCTTTGCACCCTCCTACCTCCAACCCTTTCAGGGTGATTTCTTATTTCTCTCCCTAGTTGTAGGGCTTCTGTTCATCTAGACGCCAGGTGACTCTGCTTGCTGTTTACTCTGTGTTTCCGTCACAACTTTGATGTGGTTGCAAGAGGAGATGAACAAAGCTTCTATCATCTATGCCATTTTCCCCAGTCTTCCCCATAGTTGTTTATTATTATTGAGTATTATGTATTATACACAATTGTATATGTGCTATACTTTTATATGAGTGACAGTGCAGTCACATAAAAAGCTTGTTTACACCAGCATCACTACAAACATGTAAGTAATGGCTTGTACTACAACATTAAGATTGCTACAATGTCACTAGTTGATAGAAATTTTTCAGCTTCATTATAATCTTATGGGACTACTGTTGTATACACAGTCCATCATTGATGGAAGTACCGGTATGTGGCACATAAATGTGTGTATATATATAGTTAGTTCTTCCTATCCACAAAAAGGAGTCGGCAAGCCTCCCCCTTCATCTCGCATCTTCTAACTATCATCTTTTTTTCTCTTTCCTTAACCAAACCTAGTTTTTTAGAGCTGAGGCTTATATAATTTGGGGTACCTTGATGAAAGAAATAAGAGAACTGTAAATACAAATAAAAACAAAAATGAATTTAGTTAGAATGAGAAAAGAAATCCCATGTGTCACAGTTTTAAAAAGATGACAAATACAAATATTACTAAAGCCAGGAAAAATAACTTAATTTTTTTCTTAATTAAATGTCTTCAACTTCTATAATACTTTGCCACTAAATAACTCTGGCTCCCCTTCACTTCAAACCTTGTTTCTCTTCTACTCCTCACCTACTGCTGGAAAACTAAATTGAACCAGTAGAAAACACAAGCCCAGAGAGGGGACATGATTTGTCATTATTTTATTTGAAAATCTACTGGGCCGGCCTCAGTGTCCTTTTTCTTTATCATCTGAGGTAGAACTAGATGAATTATAAGCAACATTCCCTGCCCCCATGACCACTTTTCAATCTCCAACTTTCACTGAATTACTGATTAGGAGGCCAGGCCCTCTGATAAAGACCATAGTCACTCCTCTCAAGCAGAAATCTCTTCCTTCTTCCCTGTTCCAGCAGCCTAGGCCAAAGCCTGGGTTACAGGGCATCTCTGCCTCCTTTAAGATAGGTCTCACTCTGACTCTTGTTGGCAGGTTGTTCAGAACAGCTGATTGTGGTCTCTGGGAGCAATGTGAGTCTTCAAATCTGCAATTTGCCTGATAAATACAAAAAACTCACCTGGTTTTACACTGACACCCAGAAGATTGTAGAATGGGAGTCCAACACGCCTAAGCCTCACTACTTCAATTCTAAATTTAAGGACAGAGTCACATTCGATCATCAAAATGGCACACTCCACATCTATAAGGTCCGAAAAGAAGACAGCAGCACCTACCTCCTGAAGATATTAAAGGAGGCTGGGACCGAAGAGGAACGAAAGATCTTCCTGAAAGTGTTTGGTGAGTTTGGGGAATCAAAAGGCAAGTTTCCACTCTGTGGTCCTGGGTGGACTAGCAGGAAGCTGCTTGGGGATCATGGAGATCATGGGGGCTCTCTCTGGGAAGAGGAGAGAAAAATCCCAGGACTGCCTTTATTCAATTCTCCTTGAGCCAGTTTCACTTGGGAGTGAGCCTGGGCCAGCATAACCTGAATCGATAGCCTTGGGACATTTAAAAACTCTTCTGTTAATGAGTCTAAGATTTAAAGAGAAGGAAAACAAAAAAGATGGTTTCCTCTCTATTCTCTTCATGCTCTGCTGTAATCAATCCAGATCAATTCTAAGCTCATCTTAATAATATATCTGAACAAAGACTTTATCACACTTAAGGAAAAAGATAGAAAAGATAAAGATGGAGCAGGAGCTATTAAGGAAGGTTTTTCACCTTTCAGAATGGGCGAAACAAAAACTTACCCTAATAGTTGCAGCCTAACCAGTATATATGGAATAAGGACTAGGACATTATACTTGGAAATTGACAGACTTGGATTAAAAACTCTGGTCATTCACTTGGCTATATGACCTTGGAGAACGATCTTAACATCTCTGTGCCCATATTAGGTAAGTTTCCTTACTATGGCAAGGAAACTTACCTATGTAGCTTTAGCAAAAAAAGGAGAATTTAAGAAACTAGGACTATTTAGAGCTATTCAAGGAGTTTAGAAGATTCAGGAAGGGCTAAAGGGGAAGAAGAGTGAGAACTAGGGCATGCCTAGAGTCCTCAGCCTCAGAAATCTGTAGACTGTGTCTATGGATCCTTGCCATTAACGTGACTTATCTCTCAAAGTCTAGACTTTAGTATCTCAGTTGAAATTCTCAAGAGAAAGAAACTGATTAACCCAACTTGGTTCAGGTATGTGTACCAGATCGAAACATTTATGGCCAAAGGGGTCAGGTTATAAAGCAGAAACGTGGTTCCTGGGGAGGTCTTTCTGGGTTGAAGAAAGCAATTGTTAGAGAAAAGGGGCTGGACAAACATCCAATAGAGTCTCAGAGTCTTGTGTTCCTCATCGTATTATGAGGCTAATTATATCTATCTTATAGGATGTTATGAGAATCAAAGTAGATAATTTTTAAAATGCTAAAACAGTGCATATGAAAAGTGTTGCATATATTCAGGTCCAACCAGCCAAGTAGTCTCTGTTCTGAGAGGCCTGAGTCCCCTTCTTGCTCACTTACCCAATGTCATATGGCCTGAAAATTCAGGAGGTCCTGGGAACAGAAAAGGATCAAAGTCTCTTACAGTGGTGTTTAAAAGAAAAAAAAATCCCCAAATTTGTATTAGTTACCAATTTATGTGGTAAATACTCCCATCACAGCCAATTCTAAGCTACTAATGGTTTCACAATCAGCTTGCAAAATTTCTGATTCTTTTAAAATCCACAAACTGGTTTGGCTTCAGCACATCTGCTTGTAGGTAAGACTCTCAGGATGTGATTAGCAGAAAAATCATCCTTTAGTCCAGCCCAGAAATTTCTGATAGCTCAAAGAGGGCATCTTGAAATCCAGACTATACCCACTGCTTCAATAAATCCCACCCACAAAGTGCTCAGCGCTGTGCTGCTCACTGTGGGGAATGCGGAAGCTATGTAAGACATGAGGCTAGATCACAGGAAATGGTGGGAAAAAAACAGTATAAAAATTACTCAGATAAAGTATGTAAGGGAAATTGAGCAATCTGAGAGGGTTTTACAGAGTAGATGAGTCTACATTTTAGGACACCAGCCCAGTAGAGCTCTTATTGCCCCTCCACACACACATGTAACCCGGAGGAAAGCTCTTATCTGGTCAATTCTCTGCCACATTTTAATCCTGTGATGTCTGAGCTGCACTGGTGCTGCAGATGGTTTACCCTTGACCAGAATGAAAAGACCCCAAAGGATTTCAGGTAAAGTGACCCTAGCAAAGAAAGGAGTAGACACTGGGATTACTTTTCCTCCCATCTGTCAGCAGGACTACAGCAGTGATGATGATGTGACCTCTAACACACTCTACCTAAAGCACTTCCTCATAGATAATGTCATTTTGTATTACTGACATTGTGCTATAGGTACAGTCATTTTACAAATGAGAAGGAAATTCAAGGGGTTAATTATCTTACCTAATATAACTCCACCAGAACTAAATCCAAGATTTAGGCTGGTCTCAATTCAGCTAGTGTTTTGTCCTTTCTATCTCATAACTTCTCCATCCATTCATCTAACCATTCATCAGATATTTATGTGGCAGGCACTACTTTAGACACTGAGATACCAAAGTTAACAGATGCAGTGCTATTGGTAATTGCCAGGATGGGCTAGGGGTTACATGAGATTCTCTGTAGCTCTGCCAGAATCCAGGAGAGGGCTTTGCCATGTGCAGAGAGGTACCTCTTACCCCAGTACTCTTGCCGAATCTGATTCCAAGAGCCCTTGAAGGACAGAAGGGCCAAGGTGCCATCTACAAGCTATTGCTAGAGAAGGAGCCTTAAGCAGCTGAGACAGTTGAGATACTAAGTCTGACCCTAGTCTATCTCTTTGCCAACACATTCCTCTTCTTTCTGGCCTACAGATAGTCATAAACATATTCTGTTTCTGGGTACATGACTCTCCCTCTTGGATCCAGCTTACCTTCACCCCAAGGAATAGCTCTTTCAGTTCTAAGCCTCAGGGAGGGCAAAACTACTCCCTCTCTCCCTCTGTAGGACTTTTTTCTCCATAACTCTGCTTCCAGAAGCACTCAGCCCCTCCCTAGCTTCCTCTGTGCTTTGTAGGCTAAACCCTCATAGCATAAATGCCTCATAAATGCATAAATCCATTGTCTCATCTTTTAATATCCTCCTTATCTTCAGATCCTGTATCTAAACCTGTCATAAATATTACGAAGATAAAGGAAGTGAACAACAGCTGTTATTTGAACCTGTCGTGTGTGGCCTGGGGCCAGTCTCTCAACTACACCTGGTATAGGGACTCAGGGCCCTTTCCAAAAGAGCTCTGGAGTAGTAAGCTTGTGATCAATGTTGAGCCACAAAACTACTCCAAATTTTACATCTGCCAAGTCAGCAATCCTGTGAGCAACAAGAATCGCACAGTCTACTTCACTTCAGCCTGTGAACAGGGTAAGAAATATTACCAAGGTTGCTGATGAGGGCACGGGGTAACTAGTTTTCTCCTGAACGAAGAAAGGTGTGGGGATCCTATTCAGCCTCCTGGCACAGAACTTAGTGAAAAATCACAAAGGCATGTGGGAGACTCATGTTCTTCTCCTAACTCACCTCCCAGTGAGCTCACCTCACTTTTGTGGAGCTCAGTGTCCTAAACTGCGAAGGGCAGTTGCACAGGATATCCCCTCACTTTGCCCGTTCTAACAATGCATGGTCCTGGAATGTAAGGCCAGTGTAATTGTAAGGCAATCTGAGATATCAGGGTGAGCAGAGAGAAAAAGGGCAAGCAGGAGAGCAAGCCACACATTGTTGAGCAGGTACATAGAGGGGTTTCTGGTAGATAGCCTAAATCAGTGAAAGAAGGAGGACCAAGGAGATGAGCATGGGTGTGAACAAAGTAGACAGGAATGAGAGCTTTATCCTAAGGTAGAGACTCTCTGCTCTTTCCCAGATGTGTGCTCCTTAATGAATTTAGACAGGCATGTCCCTCTTAAACAGACAAAATAAAAGTGCTTATCTCATGCTATTGTAAGGATTGGATGAGACAATACGGACAACCTAGCAGAGTGCCTGACAAGTCTCCAAAGAAGGATAGCTAAATCAGTCGCAGTCAACCTTCAATTCAGGAAACACTAGGGTTTTTGAGACCCTCCCCCCCACCTCCTAAATTTGGATCACTATTTCCAGCATTCTGGACTTTGTTACTCTCCATACCCATGAAATCTCATCCCTGAGCCCTGGTGTACATATCCTTCTAGAATAACTCATACCTGTGATGCCAACATTTTCCTGAGATCCTGTCATGCCCAGTCATCAGGGACCATGGCCCCCAAGGACATTGCTATTTCATGGTCTTCCTGGACTCAGTCTAGTCTCTCACTTATGCTGATTACTTCTGCAGTAACATGTGGATTATGGAACCTGTATGCTATTCTTTCTGGTCATGTCTCTTCTACTCTCTCCTGTTATTCCTTGCTTTTCTAGTACCTCAGACTCAATATGACAGTTTGGCATCTGACCTTGAGACCACAAGTTGACTGGGCAGTTCCAACTCTACCTTTATATCAACACCACATCCTGCAATTCAGGAAAAGGAAGACACACAATCTCTGTCCTTTACAAAATGAGGATGGCTGCTCATTTGTAGAGAGAATGAAAACAATATCAATGTTTTACTGATGGGCAAAACCTGTCTTGTCATTTTTTAGCCAATCCAGTTATCCTAGAAAAACATCCCTAATTTCCCTTTCTTATTTGATCATTCATTTTCTCCTCCTGTTATTTTGCACTTCTTCTCCTCTGCCCCTTTCTCCTCTACTTGGATCTGCTCTCTTCTCCTGTTTTTATTCTCTTTTCTTCCCTTTCCTCCCTATGTCTCTTTTCCCTCCCCTTTTTTCCTCCTAGTTGGTACATATGGCCAGTGGAATGGAGAAACAGAAAGGGGAAGTAGTTCTTTCTTCCCTAAGGTCAGCTGTGCATAGCATTATATGGCATAGTCTACACCTGAAGCTCTGCCCTAACCTCATTGCTGTCCAGTGAAGGAGAGTGATTTTCCCCCAGGCCCATAAACATGCAAGGGAATCTGCAAGCACAGGACTCAGTTGAGACAATGATAGTTAAGGGATTTCTTCATTCTTTATGCTTCACTTCTGAGGAGATTGAGTCACTCTTGGAAAAAGATGTCTCAGGTACACCAGGACTGGATTCATGGAGGAAACACTCTCTCCTGTTCCCATGACAATGTCCATGCCCCCACCCCTTATCAACCCATTAATCAAGACACCTAGGTGTTTGCTCTTTCAGCCCCAGCCTCTGGAGTAGCTTGGATTGCAACATGGCTAGTGGTCATGGTACTCACTGCTCTTGGGTTCCTATTGACCTGAGATGAGCTCTCTTAACTCAAGAGTGAAACTCCAAGACTGCAAGATCTTGCCTTCATCAGCAACCATGCTCTTAACCTGGACAGAAGCTCCGGCTCTATGGATGGAGGAAGACTGTCATTGAGGCATCTATAAGGATCTTCAAATTAACTTTTTAAAAAGCATGGCTAATGTTTTATATCTCTCAGTTGTTTTCTAATACAAGTGTATAGATACACATGATTCTTCCCAAGAAAAAGTGTGATCGATGTTGTCTTGCTTAAATAAATATTTGATTTAATGGTCAAAGTGGATTCCTGAAGTTGCCCCAAATCTGTCAGACAATGCCAGCTCCATCAGCCTGGACAAACGAGCATCGAGATACTAATGGGAAGAAAGTGGGACTGGAGGCTCCTGTGTGTCAGTATGGCTAAGGAATTAATTTGCGCCGTCTCGGACTCTTGCTCCCATGTCCATGCCAGTCCTCCTTGGGTTCCAGCACTCCTAAATTCCCTCTTCACCAAGTTCTGGCCTCCATCCCTGTGGTTTGCTTTTTTCTGGCCCCTCTGAGAAATATACTTTTTAGATCTCCTGGGAATGTGGGATCAGGCTTACTCCCCCAGAACTGATTATGCAGCTTCACCACATATGAGGGTCCCTCTCAAACTTTTCAAGGGAAGCTGAGTTCCCTCTCCTCTTTTCATCATTCTTGCTGTGTGGGCAGCTTTTCAAGTCTGAGTTGTGCCATGAAATCTAATAAAACTATTAAATCGACAAAATGTTCTCACCAGGGTCTTCCTTTATATGAAGGTAGGAGGCCCACCACTGAGATCACACCTGGAATTTTTTCATATGTTTTTTTTCTTCCAAGGCTCCTCATTGGCCTGGAGCTGAGAGGGTCGCTAAAGGGTAGGCTCTCCCTTCAGGGAACTGCCCCACCACACACCACTTTCCCTTTATACCAAACTAGCCTTCCCTACATCCAGTCCTCTGTGGCAGAGCAATGCTGTGTCTTCACCAAACCCTTTCATTTTCTTCCAGGGCTGTGATAGTTCATTTTAAGTGTCAACTTGACTGGGCCATGGGGGTGTCCAGACATGTAGTCAAACATTATTCTGTGTGTGTTTGTGAGAATGCTGCTGTGTGAGATTAGCATTTGAATCAGTAGACTGAATAAAGGAGATTACCCTCTCCAATGTGGATGGGCCTCATCCAATCAGTTGTTGGCCTGAATAGAACAAAAGGTCTCACCTTCCTACAAGTATGGGGTAACTCCTGCTTGACTGCCTTCATGTTGAGGCATTTGGTTTTTCCTGCCTTTGGACTCGGACTGGAACTACACTGTCAGCAATCCTAGGTCTCTAATTTGTTGACTCAGATCTTGGGACTTGTAAGCCTCCATAATTAGATGAGCCAATTCCTTATAACAAATCTCTTTGTGTGTGTGTGTGTGTGTGTGTGTGTGTGTGTGTGTGTGTGTGTGTGTGTGTCCTGTTGGTCTGTTTCTCGGCAGAAGTCTGACTAATACATGGGCCAATAGCAAAACTCTTTTTCCTAGTTCCCTTTCATCTAGCTGGAGCCATGTGCCTTGTTTTAGCCAATAGAATATAGGTGGCAGGAAGTGAGGGACTCAGAAGTGAAGCTACATAATGCAAGGAGCCTGGGTCAAAGCCATTGCTTAGCTGCCTGGTCTATAGTGGACATGTATGATAAGATAGTTTTGGTTTTGTTTTTAACCACAAAATAGCCTGGGCTTTCTAAGAAACCCACCCTCTCCCTCAGCCCAACCTTACCTCTAATCAGCTTCCATCCTCCGATCAGACTATCTAGGTTCCCTTTCTATACGCAGTGTCCTTCCCTTTTCCCTCACTTTCACTTTTTCTTGGCAGAAGAGGGAGTTTTCTCAGGGAAATACGCGCGCGCGCACACACACACACACACACACAACAAAAGAGCATTTCTGGGGGACTCAGTAAGAGGAAAGAAATGTCACTGCATATCTCAAGTCAGCATGTCCCTCAGTTGCCAAGGAGCAGGTACACTTCTCCAGGCAGCATATTTCTATTGGTTCCTTGCTTGGAAACCTGAGACCAGTCCCACCTCAGACAACAACTGTCCCCTGCCTCTTCCATTCCACAAGGTGGTGCCAGATAGACAATTTGTGGGGCTCAGTGAGAAATGAAAATGTGAGATCCCTTGTTTAAAAAGCAGTAAATAAGTGTCATTAAATGTAATAAAATAAAACTTTTCTCTTTCTTCTACAACCTTACTCTACTTGGGATGATTTTTTAATTTGCCATTTAATGTTGTTCTACAGAAAAAGAAATTAAAATTCTATATCATATTATGAATTTTACTGTTTATATAGGGCAATGTCAGTTTTGAATGAAATATAAGAACATTTAATTTGTATGTGGAATTATTGAAAGTACTCAATTTATATTTTGTAGCTATATGCATATATATTTTGTTCTTACCAAAACAATGGAAATACTGCAAAACACTAACTTAACTGTTTTTATTTTACTTCTTGATGCACACACATTCTGCTAACATTGTATAGAATAGAGTGGCTAACCTAACACAATTTATTTGTACTTGCTTTGAGTCTCATTCAATTCCTATATACCATGGGTTCACTGGATTCTGTACTCATGGGTGTATCATGAATGCTACATGTGAATGGAGCAACAAGGAACAGTAGTTGACATGCATACTGCCACATCTTTGCTCATGAGCATGCTCCGTTGTTTCAGAGGAGTTTAAAATACAAGTTAAAAGATAAAATTATTAAGAATTTCAAGATGGTGAAAGCAGAGTATTAAAGTACAACATCCCTCTGAGCACAGGGCCCTGTTTGATAGCACAGCTCACATGCTCTTGAATTCAAGTTTGCCTCAAGGACACCTGATACCCTAAGCCAAGACAATTACTTGTCTGGGAGTTCTAGTATAGATCAAGCCTGAATATCATGCACTCCCCTTCCCCTTATATATTTTCCCGCACATCAAACTTAGTGGGCAATTCAGTGAACTCAAGCCATTTGTCTTTGTAAAGAAGATATTCCAGCATTTGCCCAAAGTTCTCACCATGAACTGGTCTGAGGACAAATTGTTCATGTGGTCCCTTGGCATGGTCTGGCCAACCTGCAGCACTGCCCTCTGCTGGCTCTCACTGTAGCACATTTAAGTAAAACTTAAAGCCTTGGATTAAATCAGTGCTTCTCAAACTTTCATTTTAATTGCAGCAAATCACCTAGGGGTCTTGTTAAATGAAGATTCTAAGTGAGGACCAAGGTTCTGCATTTCTAATGAGTTACCAGGAGACTCAGATGCAGCTGGCCACGTACTACTGTTCGAGCAGCAAGGCACACGACCGCTCCAGGCTTCCTGCTGTTCCATTAGCTTGTAGTTCCAGGTCTGCCCACGGGACTTCGTTCTTTCCTCAACTTCCTCCCCTGCTTGGCTCCTGAATATCACTCTCCTTCCCTTCTCAAGTTAAAATTTCCAGTGATCTTTCTCAGGTTCCCATGGTCCCCAGGTGTATTGGCTATATTTCCAGGGACCAACTTGTGTCAACAGGCAGCAGCACTAGGTGACACATGGAAGGTTTGCAAGGCCAGGAGCACCTGTGAACTGAGAGACTGCAGCCTTCATATCTGGCACTGCACAAAGAAACAGCTTGAATTGAGATCTGGAACGAGACCAGGTAGGGGCCCACATAAATTAGACCTGGACCCTTAGATAATGAATTAGTTCATTCCTTACCTATATTTACTGAGTGCCTGGTCATGCTGTGCTAGGAGATACTTAATGAGAACTATCATTGATGGAGCCCGTCTATGTATCCAGCTCTGCGCTGAGCTCTTTACCCAAAAGCTCTCCTTTAAAGAGTGGGGCCTGGAATTGGGAGAGAAAGTCTTGTCAAAATTCTTCTTTGGGAATTTCAATCTTAAATGGCTTCCTTGACTGTGTTTATTCTATACAATTCTTGCTGAGACCGAAGAAGTCTTACAAAGGTTCGATCTTTTAGACTCACTTCTTGTCCATGAATAACAGGATCCACCACCTTCAGTACTTTTGGGCTATGTTCAAGTGCATTTGTTGAAGTGGCAGACCCTGAACATGGAGAGGTGTGCTCTCCCCTACCCCGACCTCCTCCTCCTCTCTCTCTCACCACCTTCTCAGGAGGAGGGAGAGGGGACAGATTTAGTCCAGAGCCACCTGCACCAGCTGGAACGTGGTAACCACAGGCCCTTGTTCTCTTTCACTAGCTGCTCTGCCCAGCCCCCTGTGCTCCAGCATGGCAAGCTATAGCTAAGTTCTTTTGCCCAGTCTCCTTCCCCTGACCTCTTAGTCTTTCCTCCTCTCTCATTCACCATCTTCTCTCTTTCCAAATTTCTGTCATTCTCATTTTCTGTTTCCATCATCTTCTTGTATCTTATTCTTTCTTTCGTCTGTTTCACCACACCCAGCTGATACATTGTTTTCATCACTCCTCCTTTACACTGAGCCCTTGCTTGGTTCTGCCGCTGATGTTTCATCTACCTATGAGGGTATCACAGACCCTGATAGTGCGTTGGTTGGTTTTTTCCTTCCTTAGTGAAATAGAAAATATGTTCCCCTCAATGAATGCTTCCCAGCCCAGTGACCTCTGTGCCTGGTAGCCTAGCTTGGGCAGAGGCTTCCTATGGAGAAGACAGCACAACAAACGCATTGGTTCATTGTCTCAACAGATGTCTGCAAAAGTCTTGATGGGACTTTTCCCAGTGCTTCAAACTTAGATCTAGGACAAAGAGATTTCGTATTCTAAAAGAGCTACAAATAAACCAGAGATAGTACTACCTCTAGGCTTAGTAAGGGGTGACCAAACTGATTTTGCTACCCCAGCGCTCTTCACGCCCATTCTATATAAACAGATGACGAGGGAGAGAGGAGAAAATCATCAGGATAAAAATTTTTGGTATGGCAAGGATTTAGGAGTTTTCACAGAGGACACTATGGATAGTAGCCAGTCTTCAGTTGTCTTGCCACCCGGCCACCAGGTAGGCCAATCCCAGCAACACTCTTTAGTCAAGAGCTCCCCACCCCCACCAACCTTACTGTGGCCCCCAAGACACATATGAAGGAGCGAACATTCAGATGTCTGTCAGAGAAGGCATTCACAGCGTATCAGTATTAGAGAAGCAGAGAAAACCAACAGCACCCAGGTCACTGAGAAATAGTTTGGCCCTCTCTGCTCTGCCCTAAACCACTCGAGAAGCTGGAACTAGATGAGGTAAAATAGGAGGGAAGATTAGATCATAACTCCCTCCCTATAATAAATTTTAGAGCCATGAGACAAACTTGAGTTAAAGGGAAGTTTTACATTTAACTGTACAGTCAAATTACTAGAAGTGATAATAATGAAACTGAGGGATTTTCCCAAAACATCCTCAAGTGATGGAAGGCAGATGTGACATAGTCCTGATGTGAATGAGGGGAAAAGAGCATTCTTTGATGTTAGTTCCCACCCAAACAAGTTCATACTGTTTGAAAAACAGTTTACATGTATTTATTAAGCAGCAGCTATGAGTTAAACACCATTCTAGATTCAGCACTGATAAAAACAAACACAGTTCTTGCCTTCATGCAGATTGTATTGAAGTCTGGAAGCTAGCCCTAAAGAAAATAAGCAATTTAATTTCAATCATGACAATGCTACAAGTGTGAAATATGACAACTACTCCATAAAAGAGCTAGTGAGGACTGAGGGAATATAAATCAGGAAGATCTGATCTAGTTTTGAAGGTCAG